ATGGTGATATAATTGACTTATCATTAGACTTAATGGAATAACACTTGTGAATTGGTTTAACTTAGGTATAGCCATTCATAAGTACAAATTGCCTCAACTCTTCTTAGAAATTCAAATGGTTAGAGGAGCTCTTAACACACTACCTTAATTGAAGTCACCAAATCAATGAAGCATAAAATCTTGTTAAAATCAATTAGCTTTAAGTGATAAGAGTTAGCAAGTCCGAAAGATAATCAAATGCTTACAATTGTCGTTATAGAGGAAACATTTCCATGTCCTAAATGAAATGAAAACAAACATATAAACCATTTGTGGCTTACTAATTTGAAGGTCCATTACTTAACAAAGAAATTAGTCAACAAAAACATGCATTCATTCATCCAAGCTCATGATCAAAGATAAATAAACACAACAAGATGTTTAACTAGAAAACATCTCCATAAACTTCAAACAAAACGTAATAATAAGTCTTCCAAGCAAATAATCATCCACGGGTTAAACCTTAATCAACCAAATGAAAGTTTAGCCAAACATTGCAAAAGGAAAAGAAAAGCAATATAGTTTAGTGGTACCAAACATTGTCTTAGATGCAAGATGGAAAGAAATTACACTATTCTTCCAAAAATCCTTCAAATCTTCCAAAGCGCTCTTGAGAGAGAATGGTTTATGTTCTTCAATTGATGCCCCTCAATAATGGCTCCAATCTCCAGCAAAAGGGAGCTGATTTCCGGATTCAAAAAGGTGTGAAAAGCCACCCTCCAAACTTCCACAAATAGAATCAACATGTCAAAACCCAGAATCAACTCCACACAATTCATCGAACCGTGTATGGGTCCATGCGGATCGCATGTGGCATGCTGAATATGGGAGTTAGGCCATTTAACATGCAATCTAGCCTAATCTTCAATTCTTCAACTTCAGCCCACATATGAAACTCGTTAGAGCCCATTTGTGTCATTCCAAAGCCTTCTAATGATTGATCCAATACTCCTTCAATTTTCTTGTAGCTCGATTCCGCATCGCCTCATCATCATCCTTACTCACAAATTAAGTCCAAATTGATTTCTTCTTTATACAAGCACCAAGCCCGATCGCACCACTCCAAATCCACAAGGAAACCGCAAGCCTCCATAAGTCTCGCACCCTTCTAAGCCACCAATAACAAAAATCTTCGAAAATCCTGCAAATAAGCTCAAAAGGCTGGAAAGCACCCGATGAAGGAGAAAAATAACAAAAAGAATTAAAGAAAATGAATCTATCAGTAGTTGTTATAATGTGATGGTAGTGCCAATGGATGACATATGGGTCATTGGTCAACATGGTAGTTGCTTATGGTGTGATTGTATCACCTATGGATAACATATGGGTCATTGGTTAACATGGTAGTCTCTTATGGGTATGATGGTATCACCTATGGATGACATATGGGTCATTGGTCAACATGGTATTTGCTTATGGTTTCCATGGATGATATATGGGTCATTGGTCAACATGGTAGTTGCTTATGGTGTGATGGTATTACCCATAGATAACATATGGGTCGTTCGTCAACATGGTGTTTGCTTATCGTATCCATGGATGACATACGGGTCATTGGTCAACATGGTACTTGCTTATGGTGTGATGGTATTATGCATGGATGACATCTGGGTCATTGATCAACATGGTATTTGCTTATGGTGTCCATGGATGACATACGGGTCAGTGGTTAACATGGTAGTTGATTATGGTGTGATGGTATTACCTATAGATGACATATGAGGCATTGGTCAGCATGGTATTTGCTTATGGTGTCCATGGATGACATACGGGTCATTGGTCAACATGGTGGTTACTTATGGTGTGATGGTATTATCCACCAAGTCTGATTAATCGCGATTATCGCCAGTCGACCACCGAGCTGCCGCTAAGCGATTTTTATAGCCATGATTAATATAGAAATTGATTTTTCTTTTAATTATGACTTTTGACAAAACTACCCTTACTAATTAAATACGAGTTATTCTATGTGTTAGGACAATTTGGTCATTTTATAATGGAACATCTTCTAGGCGTTATAATGTTTTCCAAGGAAACATGTTATTTCGGTTCTTCACTCTTTTTTCTGTCACTTGCAAACCACCCCAATTTTAAAATTCTGACATTCAAAAAACACTAAAATAAATTTCGCAAAATCGTTATGTTACTGAATGTTTATTATTATGGAAGCCAGTACTTCTTCTAAGATTCAATGAAGAAATCAAAGGAAATTGCTAACAGACATGCCATTTGATGTGATGTAGAAAATACTTGGCAAAATATTTAGCAGTTGAGGTGTTCAGGATGAAGAGTGTGTAAGTTTTATCTTCAATCATTCTATTTCACAAGTGTATTTGAGTTGTCTTTACATTATGGAGCGAATGTTGTGTTTTGTTCAGTTGTAGATTCTTCAATGAGGTAGGAAAAACAGATGAAGTATATAAACATATGGAGTTAGATGGATTATGATTTGTTGGTTTGTCTGACTAGGAACATGCACTTGTCGAAAAATGCATAGAGATGAGAAACCAAAATATTCTATTCAGGAATGGATTGGTAAGTTGTTATATATATATGCATCATATTAACTAATTTGTTTCTTGTTTTGCATAACTTTCACTAGAAATTATGTGTTTAATGTTTTTTTTCAGATGAAGTTATTTTTCTTAGATGCTGAACATGAAGGGAAAACGATGCTTGGAGAAGCATCTGCATTGAGACATTTGGATTCAACACATGTCCTGGGAATGATGTTGATGGTTCAAGGAAGACATATGAAGGAGGAAGCTTTGGACATGTTGAACAATGCTTATCATAGAGGAAGAAGTACGTGGAATGTTAGAGCAACTTGTTCTAAGGTTCATCTCAGCTTAAATAGGGAGGGGAAGAAACATGTCCACTTCAATGGCTTCCATAGATCTTATGCATTGCAAAAGTCTGTAATTAGTGTATCATACGCTTTTGTGAATGGATACAAATGCGTGTTTATGTTGAAATTTCTTTGTGGGATGCTTGTTACGCTAGGTTTTCCAGGAGCTTGTTATAATTTATGAGTAGTTTGTTGATATGTACTTTCATCTTACGACAATTAATGCTATGTACATTCTTTTAGTTTAATATCCGAATATATAGTAATATATCATAAGTAATTAGTTGATGTTTGTTGGTTAGTAAATATGTTGTGTTGTTAATAAGGGACTAAAAGAGTTAAAGTTTTGAATGAGGTTTGAATGAAGTATGAATAATGTGTTTTGGACTTTCAAGATTTGTGTTTATATTGTATAGAGATTATAGTTGTATGTAACCAATGTTTGTTCTATCCTAATATTAAATACATATAAAATACAATTGTAAATGCATAAACATACATGTATTTTATTTTGGATTTGGTAATTTAGTTTAATATCAACTAGTAGAGAACTCATGCTTTGCATGGGGTAACATTTTAAAGGAATAAACGTAGGAATTAAAAGTGGCAACAAAGAAAATGTATTGTGGCTAAGATCAAAGTAAAAAAAAAAAGGTTACTATAAACATAGGGACTAAAAGTGGCAACAAAATAAAACTATTGTGTCTAAAATCTAAAGTAAAAAAGTTTATTGTTAAAATCTTGTTGCACTTTTAATATATATATATATATATATATATATATATATATATATATATATATATATGTATTTGGTGAAATACATAAATATATACTAGTAATTTGGTGATATATATATATATATATATATATATATATATATATATATAATATATTTATGTATTTAGTACATAAATATATACTAGTAATTTGGTGAAATGTTAATATAAATGTATTACATTATGGATTATGATATATATGTTATTTTTGTCTTTTTTATTTCATCAATCAAAAGTCCAATGTTACCTAGCTATAAAAGGTTATAATATTTGAATAATGTGTTTTGACAAAAATATCCTTAGTATTCACATATTTGGAATGATTTCAAGGGCAATTTGGTTTTTTTGCACTCTAAATTGCTAAGTCGCCATCATACCTCTGACATCACTCCGACGTTCCAGTTCTTCAACCATTCAGAACATCTCAACCTTTCGGGACGATAAATCTAAATACAAACACTAAAACCCCCCAAATCATTGAAGGATAATCATTCTCAAAAATGATTTTTTCCGATAATAGAGACTCCTGTACTCCTCTGTACCAGATCAGCATAAAGTTAGTTTTTTTTTCATACCTTGTTACACTGTCTTTCATAGTTACGCTTAATTAAAAAAATTGAAATCAACTACTCCAATGTGTATTTTGTAAGTAGAATGTTGAATACTAGAAGTCGTCGTTTGTTAGATGATCTCCCACTAGAGATTTAGAGTCGAATATATGTAGTATTAGGGTCAGAATCTACGAAAGACATCGTCTATGCAAGACTTTGGTAGTTCTCAATAAACATCAACTAATGAATGTATATTTGATGAAACACAACTTTATTTATTTGTTATTTACTGTGTATTTAAATATTTGAAGTTGAAAGAAGATGTATGCAGCAGGTGGTGATCCTCAAGTGTATAGAACATCATGCATTGACATGTTTGAAGGAACGGGTCCCAAACATTTGAAAGCTGATTTATTTATAGGCACATATGCATTGCATAATATCATTGAAGCCATGTTCGAACAAGGAATTGTATGTGTAGATTTAGTAATTATATGTAATCTATACCATTTATTAATATTTAGTGTCATTGATGTTATATATTGATATTGTTATTCTGTCAACAGGATAAGTGATTTTATTATGAAAATTTTAATTTAGGATTGACTTTGTTGAGACAAGAAGCTAGCAATTTATTTTCTTGGAATGATCTAGATTTCAAGAGGGTCTCATCAATGTGTTGAAGGAATGTATATATGATATGTAAATTAAATTATATATACTGTTATTTAAGGCATGTTTGTAGTTTGGGGTTAGTATTTAGTTATGTTGTGTTGTATAATATTTACTGTTATGTTGAAAAGGGTACATTGGATTAATTGATGGATATTTTAATGTGTAGGTTTACAATTACTTGATGTCTAATTTGGTTGGGCAGTTTTGGATGATGGGGAGTACACGGGTGTTTTTGATAGTGCGAAAGAGTTGTTGTGGGATGTTCATAGACTTACAACGAATAACATCACATTCCAATGTGAAGACCCACGTCATTATGTTAAAGGTGCATTGGCAATAGGCCATGAAGAAGATGAGGATCGACAAAGATATTCCATGGTTTGTCGTTGGTATGTAGAGTATGGTAGGTTTTGTATATTTTTTAAAAATATTAACGATTAATATAAGATTGGACATTAAATATTAGTGCTCTTATTGTATTGTATATGAATTTGTATAGTACTACTATAATTTTATTTTGGTTTTGTGTTTACATCATTCTGTTAAAAGGGGATCTTAGTCATTTTTGTTTGCTATGTTGTTTGACTAGGATGAAGTATACGTAAAACCCATGTTACTTTTTTGATGAAGTATAGTTAATGTAATTAAAAATAAGTTTGTAATAAATTCGTTATTAAGGAAAATAATCTACATAGATTATATACTTTAACATGTCCGGTTCATGAAATTAAAAATAAGTTTGTAATGAATTCGTTGCTAATCATTCATTATATAATACGTTTCAAGAAATTATACACAACTTGATTAGACAACTAGCTTAAGCACGCCCTTTTCTAGCATATGCTTAAGTACGAGTCTGCTTGCTAGCAATATCTACTTTATAATTCATTATTACATTTTTTAGCCATTAGTTTACGACACATATTACCAATCAAAAAACATTTCAATTAAATCATATCTTACAAATTCCATTGATCGTAATAATAATTGATCCATAGTATAAGAAGATTAATTAAGCATACAACATCCGAACATATGTCGTCACAAATTATCTACGCGTTTTTTTCCATAGCAAAACAAGCAAACTAAATCATATTCCGTAGCAGAATTCCCTAGCAAATACCTACGAATGGTACTTCCGTAGCAATTCAATTATGGAATTGGTTTGCGTTACAAACTCTATTACATAGTAACCATGATAAGGAATTCCATAGCAGCAGTGTGACAACCCGAAATTTCCATTTTGAACAAACCATATCAATCCAATAGAAGTTAGAACAGTTATAGTGAAATTCCAGACTTCGAGTATAACTTTGACAGTTGTTCAGGATTTACACTTAAGAAAATATCTGGAGAGTGGATGCACCAGGGTTTCGTGCAACACTGTTAATCTGATACTCTATGATATTAGAGTTCATTCTGGGAATAAAAATATTTTCTGCCAAAAATCCCAGGACTATATATAGGAATCTGAACCATATTCATTCATTAGTTGCTTTTCCGACTAGAGAAAAGTCGAATTCTCTCTCACGGATCTTCGGGTTTTTATCTCAAATTGTGAGAACCTCGATATAGTTATATAATATAGCTTATATTATAGTTTATAACATCAAAATCATGCCAAAACCCCAAGATTCGGGAGTTTACCGCCCAAGAACACTTGGGGAGTAAACTCCATTTTAAGGGCCTAAGGTGTCCCAAAGTCCCTCAAAGCCATGGTACTCAAACTAGAACCCACCATTGCATGTTTAGGACATCAAAACAATAAAGATTCAAGGGTAAAAGAGAGTTCACGGCCAAGGAGATTCTTGGGCTGTGAACACCATGTTTTTGTGCCAAAATGCCCTAAAAACACCCCTTAAGCCAAGACACTAATATGGGCATGTAACTAATTGATTGTAGGACTAGCTAACACAATTGGAACACCAAGAAAAGAGTGTTCACGGCCTAAGATGTTCCAGGGCCATGAACTCCAATAAATGGTGCCAAATGGTGCCATAACTCGTCCTAAAGCCTTGGACAATTGCCTTGATTTATTCCTTGTTAAATTAGAGGCTTGAAAACACCATAAACTTTTCCACAAAGGAGATTACGGCAGTAATCTCCATGGGATATGGTCTCAGGGCCGTAAACCCCTATAAAGGGGGAAAATGTCACCCAAACACTTGATTAAGCCTAGAAACAATTCACCAAACTTGTGGTATAAATGGTAGGCTTCATTTAGAGACCTTGTTGAGAGTTTACGGCCAGGAGTTTACTCCCATGGGCCGTAAACTCCAGAATATATGGTCATTTTACCATAAACTTGCATTAGGGGCATTTCACTCCTTTGTTGCAACCCATTTGCCTCCTAACACTTGACAAAAAGCGTTTTCCTCGCATTGAAATGCTTATACTTGTATAGTTAATGTTTTAATCACTAATTATTTATATACATATGTCTTTATATGTAATTAGGATCATTGTGTGTGTCTAAAGTTTTCACTTGATACCAAGCACTTGTCCGATCATTCCTTACGATAACCTTCCGTTCAATTCCAATCACTTACTACATGTCAGTTCACACCCCTTAATCAATGTTTTAACAGTTTTTAAATGTTTTATGGGGGGGGGATACAAGTAGAATTATGCTAGTTACTATATCAATCACATGTGATTAGTAAGAAGCATTCAAAAGATTGGCTACTCATTAGCCATTTTACGAAACAGTTTTCCTTCAAATGATTTTCATAAACATTTTATATGATTAAAACTCCTTGTTAAGTTGTACACTTTACTTTGTACACTTGATTTCAAAGTCATTTATAATTGTGTTTCAAACCAATGTTCTTTATACCTAAATTGTTTTATCAAACTCATGCCTTCAAACCGTTTTATAGATTGACATCAAGTTGATCTTTTCTTAGATAATAATTATGTTCAAAGGTTTTACAAAACTTAATTTATGCTTTTATATTATAAATTGCATGCCTATATATGTATATTTATATGAGTAATGTTTAAAAGACTTAGGAAAGCTATCCACCCTATTTCCTTTTCGCGCTTGAGATGTGGTCTGGTGGGATATCGGGTACCCGTCCGAAGGTCGTTTAAATATTAGTTATATATGAGGTGTACATATATAGTCATAAAGGTTCTTACAGTTCATTCAATAGCATTGGGTAGCAAGGGTATACATCCAT